TTCCAAGAGAATGGGACCAAAGGCTGCTCCAACCTTATATCTGCTTCTGAGCACCATTAGCTTGGCTGCCAATCCTACCAGGCCCACCCTTCTATCTCGTTGTTCCTGGAAGGGTTAGAGTTAATACAGATCTTCAAAAACTGGGACGGTCCAAAATTTCAGTAGTATTTTTGGTGGTTTCCAAAAGTCTTCCAAGACAATGGAACCAAAGGCTGCTTCAACCTTATATCTGCTTCTGAGCACCATTAGCTTGGCTGCTAGTCCTACCAGGCCCCACCCTTCTATCTTGTTGTTCCTGGAAGGGACTAGAGTTAATACAGATGTTCAAAAATTGGGATGGTCCAAAATTACATGGTATTTTTGGTGGTTTCCAAAAGTCTTCCAAGAGAATGGGACCAACGGCTGCTCCAACCTTATATCTGCTTTTGAGCACCATTAGCTTGGCTGCCAATCCTACCAGGCCCCACCCTTCTATCTCGTTGTTCCCAGAAAGGTTAGAGTTAATACAGATCTTCAAAAATTGGGATGGTCCAAAATTGCAGTGGTGTTTTTGGTGGTTTCCAAAAGTCTTCCAAGAGAATGGAACCAAAAGATGCTCCAAAGACTGCTTCTTCCTTATATCTGCTTTTGAGCACCCTTAGCTTGGCTTCTAATCCCACACTTCTGTCTTGGTGTTCCTGGGAGAGTTAGAGTGAATATAGATCTTCATGAATTGGGGATGGGCCAATATTTCAATGATCTTCCTGGAGAAGGGGACAAAAGGATGCTCCAAAGGCTGCTTCTACCTTATATCATGCTTTTGAGCACCCTTAGCTTGGCTTCCAGTCCCACCATTGTTTCTATCTTGGTGTTCCTAGGGGGGTTATAGTTAATATAGATCCTCATGAATTGGGGATGGCCCAAAATTTCAGTGGTATTTTTGGTGGATTACAAAAGTCTCCAGGAGAATGGAACCAAAGGATGCTCCAAAGGCTTCTTCTACCTTATACATGCTTTTGAGCACCCTTAGCTTGGCTTACCAGTCCCACCCTTGTTTATCTTGGTGTTCCTAGGGGAGTTATAGTTAATATAGATCTTCATGAATTGGGGATGGCCCAAAACGTCAGTGGTATTTTCGGTGGTTTCCAAAAGTCTTCTAGGAGAATGGAACCAAAGGATGCTCCAAAGCTGCTTCTACCTTATATCTGCTTTTGAATACCCTTAGCTTGGCTCCAGTCCCACCCTTCTATCTTGGTGTTCTATGGGGGTTAGAGTTAATATAGATCCTCATGAATTGGCGATGGCCCAAAATTTCAGTGGTATTTTTGGTGGATTACAAAGTCTCCCAGGAGAATGGAACCAAAGGATGCTCCAAAGGCTTCTTCTACCTTATACATGCTTTTGAGCACCCTTAGCTTGGCTACCAGTCCCACCCTTCTATCTTGGTGTTCCTAGGGGAGTTATAGTTAATATAGATCTTCATGAATTGGGGATGGCCCAAAAAGGTATTTTCGGTGGTTTCCAAAAGTCTTCTAGGAGAATGGAACCAAAGGATGCTCCAAAGGCTTCTTCTACCTTTTAAATATGCTTTTGAAACCCTTAGCTTGTCCCCCACCAGGTCCCACCTCTTTATCTTGGTGTTCCTGGGAGAATTTTTAAAAGAAGTAGCTCAGGCCTTTTTTGGGCCCATCATCTCATCGGGCTTCCAGGAGATTCTCAAACCATTCTACATATTTTTGCCTCATTGGTTGCTCTGTAGCACCCCCTTCCCTCCCCCCATTTGAAACCTGGGTCTCAATCCATGAGCGATCTCATTGGTCTTTTTAACTTTTTTAAATTCCGAAAAGGTTTTAAAATTTTCATTATGTTCAGCCAAACCACAACTAATCGAGCCTTGAAGACATTTGTTAATCTTTGAGGGTCTACAATGATTTTTTTTCCTTGATAACAGTTCCAAGGCCTTACAGCGCTTCATTCTTCATTTTTCTTTGCTATAACTCTGTATTATTTTTATTTTAGCACCAAACAAAGATTTATTTTTTATAGCCTCATGAAAATATCGTCTTAAAGTTTTTTTATGTAAGCCGAACGTGGTTTTATTAAGAAAATACCTAATTTTTTGCTACTTGTATATTTCAATATTTATGTCTTTCTCTCTTTTAATTTCCCAAGCCCTGATGAAAGGGTCATGGTCCCGAAACATGTTGGTTTATCTTTTATGAAGTAATACATTTTTTTTTTGGACTCTCAAATATTAATGTGATGCTTCTTTACTTTTTGGATCTAATCCAAAACACCTTGTTTTCAGTGCATCATTGATCAGATGTGTGGCACACCACAAAACCAAATCCCGTTTTTTTCCAAGGCCTCCTGTTTGGAAATTTAGCAGTAGAAACCCAACAGGTTCTGACCCTTTGAAAACAGAGGGGTCCGTCTTGGCATGGACGGGAGTTACATTACCACTGGACGGTCAATGAAAACAGCTGAAGGCTCTGGACCCAGAAGAAGACTGAGAGAAGCACTGGCAGTGGAGCAATGAAAGGGAACGGGGATGTTGCATCGGTGGAGGAGGACACTTTGTGATGTCCTCCTCTGGGTTGACTGATGCTCAGCATTATTTAACCCACTGCCCGTGCCTCATCAAGCTGCCTTGGGTTGACAGGAGAATTCTATGGAGAGTGGCAACGCATCATTACCTAAGTGTATTTCTGAAAGAAGAGGACAGAGGGGGAAGAGGGCCCATGCACCACATGGCTGGACTGGGCAATAAAAGGCACGTATACAGAGATCTGAAAAGAGATAAAATGCCAGGGTTGCTCCCCAGGGGATGGGATGGGTTGAAACTGGGCAGCACGGATGTTACCAAGCTAGAAGTGAACTTTATAGTACTTTAAAGCCAATGGGTTAAAGTAAAGGTTCACTTTAAGGAGGATAGTTGGCCACTTTGTTTTGGCAGCCTCTATATGACCCATCTGTTTCGCTAAGCATTAGGTTTCAGGGGGTGTCAAACTGGCGAACCTCCAGCTGTTGCGAAACTACAAGTCCTAGCATGCATCTGCCTTCGGGAGTCATGCTTGTAACTGTCAATCTTGCAATGCCTCATGGGACTTGTAGTTTTGGCAACAGCTGGAGGGCCACCAGTTTGACACCCGTGGGTTAGCTGACACCATTTCCATTGACAACGTTCCATTTTTCTTTTTCCAGTACGGCAACCTGTGGCCGGAAGAGTCAACGTCGGTGAGGACACGAAATTCCCGTCAGGATCCGTCATTTGGGAACAGATCGCTCATCCCTATTAGGGGGAATGACATGGAAATAAGGAGGAGTATGGCTGCTTTCACCGCAGACCCACTAACGGTGAGTGGCAATGTGGACTGCTCCATGTATTAAAGGTACACTCGAAGAAATGGCTCATGTGCCCGGGGAACTGCTTCTTATCTGGGGGTCGCAGTTGTGCACTGGGCAACAATTCGACCTGTAGCCAGTTGTTCTGGGAACGTCATCACTTCTGCAGCTTGGTTCAGTGGCAGGGTGTTCCTAATCCCACCCACATGGCCTTCTGTGTTCCTAGAGGGTCTGGAGGCATCATTACACCAATGGAATCACCTCTTGACATCGTCAGCTGACATACGGCTCCACCTCTGTTGCAGACCTTTCCTTTTTATTAAGCACCCAAGACTTTGTAACTTGATTGAAAAAGACTTGATTACCTCCTCCCAAGACATTTCCCAGGTCATAGTCCATGCCACCATCATCAGAGCCCTAATCTGGTCCATCTAGACGTTGACAACTGCTCTGTCCAGGTGCTGTCTGCCTTTCAACCACTCCCCAAAGCATCTTTATTCTTTGAGCCTTCAGAACCGTTGTTGCCCTGACAAAGTCCTGGGCAAAGACCAATTTACAGATCCGTAGTTTGATTGTTTCTGCATCTAGAACATACAGTGCATGTCAGAGAAAGGCTCCCCCTTCTAACATTTGGGAGTCTTCAGGCACCTAATCCAAGCTTCATATGTGGTCAAACTTTTGGCCTGAAGAAGCCAATGTCACTGAGCTGGGTTCCGTGTCACACCGTTCAAGTCTGGTGGTCTCCTTAGATCTAACTGTAACCAAGAAGAAATATCACACCAAAATCTGAGGTGACTATTGTTTAGAAACGGACAGACAGAAGATGTTGCAGTTGAGAGCAGTAAGTTCTGGTCTGCTTGCTACTGCTGTGCAACCACCATATTCATCACCGCCTTGGAAATGTGGATTTTGGACCTTGGTGTAGGAGTTAAAGCATCTCTTACGCCCTGCACTTTTTCCTCCACCTCTGCTGCAAGATAGCTATTGTCAGCAAATCTTGAAATCCTGGTTGTCAAAATGACTGGTGGGGCTTGCTCTCGTTTACAGCAGTGGCTGCACCAATGCTGTGAAAAACAAAGCTGCTGTACAGCAGTTGTTACTGTTTCCACCAGCCGTTCTCATCCAGGCTTTTATGGAACACAAGGGTTCCTGCAGAGGTTCTTAGAGGTTCCTTGAGCTGTGGTTGATTGACCTCTCATCTTATGGTGCCTGCATAGTTCTGGTTTCAAACACTACTTGACAGAGCCAGCGGCATGACGTCAGAGATCTTTTTAGCGGTCTGTAAGGGTGGAATTTTGGTCGCCACTGTAAGGGAGGGCATTTTTTCTACTGGCCACTAATGTAAGGGGCATTGTTCCCATTGACCACCAATGTAAGGACCATTCTTCCCGCTGATCACCAATGTAAGGGGCATTCTTCACACTGACCACCAACGTAAAGGGGCATTGTTACCACTGACCACCAATGTAAGAAGCATTCTTCCCACTGACCCTCCAATGCAAGGGACATTCTTCTCACTGATCACCTATGTAAGGGACATTCTACCCACTGACCACCAATGTAAGGGACATTCTTCCCACTGACCCCCAATGTAAGGAACATTCTTCCCACTGACCACCAATGTAAGGGACATTCTTCCCACTGACCCCCAATGTAAGGGACATTCTTCCCACTGATCACCAATGTAAGGGACATTCTTCCCACTGATCACCAATGTAAGGGACATTCTTCCCACTGACACCAATGTAAGGGACATTCTTCCCACTGACCCCCAATGTAAGGGACATTCTTCCCACTGATCACCAATGTAAGGGACATTCTTCCCACTGACCACCAATGTAAGGGACATTCTTCCCACTGATCCCCAATGTAAGGGACATTCTTCCCACTGATCACCAATGTAAGGGACATTCTTCCCACTGATCCACCAATGTAAGGGACATTCTTCCCACTGACCACCAATGTAAGGGACATTCTTCCCACTGACCACCAATGTAAGGAACATTCTTCCCACTGACCACCAATGTAAGGGACATTCTTCCCACTGACCCCCAATGTAAGGGACATTCTTCCCACTGACCTCCATTGTAAGGGACATCCTGCCCACTGACCTCCAATGTAAGGGACATTCTTCCCACTGACCACCAATGTAAGGAACATTCTGCCCACTGATCACCAATGTAAGGGACATTCTGCCCACTGACCCCCAATGTAGGTGGGGTTTCTTCTCTTCATTCACGGGATTGTTGGTTAAGCAACCCTACCAGTGAAAAAAAAAAAAATTGGTAATACAACGAGTTCTCAAGTAACCCGCGTGCCTGGAAGAGGCTTGCAGCCCAGGGATAATTTAAAATGGCGGTGCAGGAGAAAGGAGGTGGGAGGCAAGTATTGCCGGGGAAGGAGGGGGGGGGGGGGGGGGGGAGTTCCTCTCTAAATCTGGCCGTAGGCGGTTCGAATCGGGAACCGGCCAAGATTCGAAATTTGCACCGTCTAAGTTCTCATCGAATTAACGGGACCCTAGCGGACATGTGAGAATTGCTTCTCCATTAGAGGTGAGCAGGTGCCAGAGCTGAAGTGGTTAAAGTGCTTCCAACATTTAGATGAAACACGGAGGTATAATGAGCGAGGAAGCGTGTAGGCGGGGCGGAGAGAGCGGCACACATCTACAGCCCCTCACTCGCTTTACATGTGCAGCAGCTCTGACAGTCTCATGCTTCAGGCACCGCATTACTTGAAAAGCGGCTTCAGCCGAAAGAGAGAGAGAAACTTCCATCTAGTAGGCGTTATCTTTATGATGGGTGCAGTGGGGATGCAGATGATGAACGTCTCAGGAACAGGAGTGCGGTGATTGACAAGCCGTGTTGCGGCAGTGAGAAGATAAGTGTACGCCGGGTCCCGTCGTCTGTCTGGCGGGTAGAGGACGGGAGGGGAGAGAGCGCTATCTCCTTCATTTCATCTCCGTTTTTCTTTGATCACTTCAAAAGCAGGATGAGATTCCCTCTAATCGCAGCTAAAAGGGGTCGCGGTGAGAGAGATGGTGTCGTTCGCGGTCAGGGAGCAGCACAGTTTTTATCGACGTTCTCGGCTACATTACAGTAGCAATTATACAGAATACGGAAGGACAGAGGAGATGGCTAAAGGGGGAAACTCTGAGGGTACAAATAGGCCCCTGTGCTTCGTCCGCAACGTATAGACTGCAGGTGGGGGACAATGAGCTAGGTGGCCATCCCGTTCCTTGTGGGCTGTGAAGGCCTCCTGGTCTTCTGGGGGAAGGCTTTCCACAGATTTTGGAGGGTTGGGTTTTGGGATTGGTGGACCTGGTTGTGATGTGGTTGGGGAGTAGGTCGGTGGGTTGTGTTGGGGTGGTAGGGGGTGGGGGCGACTAGGGGGGGGGGGGTTGACGGGGGGGGGGGTGGGGGGTAGCGGTAAGGTGGGGTGGTGCGGTGGGTTGTGGGGGGTTGTGTGTGGGGGGGGGGTGTGTTATTTAGGTGGTTTGGTGGGGGGGGGTTTGATGTAGGGGATGGGTTTTTGGGTTTTTTGGGGTTTTGGGTGGGTGGGGGGGGTTTGGGGGTGGTGGTGTTTGGTTGGGGGATTGGTTGGGGGATGGGTTTTGGGGGGTTTGGGGGGTGGGGGGGGGTGGGGTTGTTTTGGTTTTGGGGGGGGGGTGTGTGGGGGGGTTTTTGGGGGGGGGGTTGGGGTTGTTTGGTTGGGGGTTGGGGTGGTGGGGTGTGGGGGGGGTGTTGGGGGTGGGTTTTGGTTGGGGGGGGGGGGTGGGGTTTGGTTTGGGGGGGGGGGGGGGGGGGGGGGGGGTTGGGGGTGGGGGTTGGGGGGGGGGGGGGGGGGGGGGGTTTGGGTTTGGTGGGGGAGTTTGATGGGGGGGGGGGTTTGGGGGGGGGGGGGTTTTTTGGTTTTGGATTGTGTGGGGGGGGGGGGTGGGGGGGGGGGGTGGGGGGGGGGGGGGGGGGGGGGGGGGGGGGGGGGGGGGGGGGGGGGGGTGGGGGGGGGGGGGGGGGGGGGGGGTGTTTGGGGGGGGGGGGGGGAAATTGGTTGGGGGGGGGGGGGGGGGGGGGTGTGGGGTGGGGGGGGGGGGGTGGGGGTTTGGTTGATTGGGGGGGGGGGGGGGGGGGGGGGGGGGGGGGGGTTGGGGGTGTTGGGGGTTTGGGGTTGGGTGGGGGGGGGGGGGTTGGGGGGGGGGGGGGGTTGGTTTGGGGTTGGGGTGGGGGGGGGGGTGGGGTTTGGGGGGGGGGGGGGGTTGGGGGGGGGGTTGGGGGGTTTGGGGGGGGTAAGGGTTTTGGGGGGGGTTTTTGGGGGGGGGTGGGTTGGGGGGGGGGGGGGGGTGGGGGGGGGGGGGGGGGGGGTTATGGGGGGTTGTGGGGGGGTGTGGTAGGGGGGGGGGTTGGGGGGGTTTTTTTTTGGGGGGGGGGGGGGGGGTAGATGGTGGGGGGGTGGGGTGTTTTGGGGGGGGTGGGGGGGGGGGGGGGTTGGGAATTGGGGGGGGGGGGGGGGTGGGGGGGTTGGGGGGGGGGGGGGGGGGGGGGGTGGGGGGTTGGTGGGGGGGGGGGGGGGGGTTTTGGGGTGGGTGGGGGGGGGGGGGATTGTTTGTGGGTTTGGGTGGGGGGGGTTTGGTTTTTTTGGGGGGGGGGGTGTGGTGGTGGGGTGTGTGGGGGGGGGGGGGGGATTGGGTTGGGTTGGGGGGGGGGGGGATGGGGGGGGGGGGTTGTGGGGGGGGGGGGGGGGGTGTTTGTTATGGTGGGGGGGTGGGGGGGGGGGGGGGTGGTTGGGGGGGGGGGGGGGGGGGGGGTGGGGGGGGGGGGGGTTGGGGGGGGGGGGGGGGGGGGTGGGGGGGGGGGGGGGTTTGTTGTGGGGGGGGGGGGGTGGGGGGGGGGGGGTTTGTGTGGGGGGTGGGGGGGGTGGGGGGGTTGGGGGGGGGGGGGGGGTTTTTTGGGGGGGGGGTTTGTGTTTTGGGGGGTGGGGTGGTGGGGGTGATGTAGGGGGGGGGGTGGGGGGGGGGGTGGGTGGGTGGGGTATGTTTTGGGGGTTTTTTGGGTTTTTTAGGTGGTTTTGGGGGGGGGGGTTGGGTTTATTTGGGGGGGTGGGGGGGGGGGGGGGGGGGGATGGGGGGGTGTGGGGGGGGGGGGTTAGTGGGTGTTGGGGGTTTGGGGGGGGGGGATGGGGGGGGGGGGGGGGGGGGGGGGGGGGGGGGGGGGGGGGGGGTATGTTGGGGGGGGGGGGGGGGGGTATAGGGGTATGGTTGGGTGGGGGTGGGGGGGTTGGGTGGGGGGGGGGTTGGGGGGTGGGGGTGTGGGGGGGGGGGGGTGGGGGGATGGGGGGGGGTTTTTTTGGGGGGGGGGGTGGGGGGGGGGGGATGGGGGTTGTTTAAGGGGGGGGGGGGGGGGGGGGGTTTAGGATTTGGGGGGGGGGGGGGGGGGGGGGGGTGGGGGGGGTTTAGGGGGGGGGGTGGGCTTGGTTGGTGGGGGGTGGGGTGGGGGTTGGGGGGGGGGGGGGTGGGTTTTGGGGAGGGGGGGGGGGGGGGGGGGGGGGGGTGGGGGGGTGGTGGGTGGGGGGTGGGGGGGGGGTTTGTTTTGTGGGTTTTGGGGGGGGGTTGGTTGGGTTTGGGGGGGTTGGTTTTGGGGGGGGGTGGGGGGGTGGGGTGGGGGGGGGGGGTGTTGGGGGTTTGGGGGGTTTGGGGGGGGGGGTTTTTTGGGGGTTTGGGGGGGGTTTTTGGGGGGGGGGGGGGTGGGGGGGTTGGGGGGGGGGGGGGGGGGGGGGGGGGTGGGGGGGGGTGGGGGGGGTGGGGGGGGGGGGGGGGGGGGGGTGGGGGGGGGTGGGGGGGGGGTTGGTTGGGGGGGGGGGGGGGGGGGGGGGGGGGGGGGTTTGTGTTGGGGGGGGGGGGGGGGGGGGGGGGGGGTGGGGGGGGGGGGGTGGGGGGGGGGGGGTTTGGGGGTGGGGGGGATTGTTGGGGGGTTGGGGGGGGGGTTGGGGGGGTTGGGGTGGGGGGTTGGTGGTGGGGGGGGGGGGGGGGGGGGGGGGGGGGGGGTGGGTGGGGGGGGGGGGGGGGGGGGGGTTTTGGGGTTTGGGGATGGGGGGGGGGGGGGGGGTGTTAGGGGGGGGGGGGTTGGGGGGGGGGTTGGTGGGGGGGGGGGGGTGGGGGGGGGGGAGGGTTTGGGGGGGGGGGGGGGGGGGGTGTTTGTGTTGGGGGGGGGGGGGTTGGGGGGGGGGGGGGGGGGGGGGGGTGGGTTGGGGGGGGGGGGGGGGGGGGGGGGGGGGGGTTGGGTGGGGGGGGGTGTGGATTTTGTAGGAGCATTTTTGGTTTGAGTGTTAAGGGTTTGGTGGGTAGTTAGGTTTGTTGGTGTATTTTATTGGGTTGGTGGAGTGTTTTTTCATTAGGTTGTTTTTTTTTTTTTTGGTTTTTTTTTGATGTTTGATTTTGTTTTGGTAGGTGTTTTTAGGAGAAGAATGTCCCTTACATTGGTGTCAGTGGGAAGAATGTCCTTACATTGGGGGTCAGTGGGAAGAATGTCCCTTACATTGGGGGTCAGTGGAAGAATGTCCCTTACATGGGGTGGTCAGTGGGAAGAATGTCCCTTACATTGGGGGGGGTCAGTGGGAAGAATGTCCTTACATTGGTGATCAGTGGGAAGAATGTCCCTTACATTGGTGGTCAGTGGGAAGAATGTCCCATTTACATTGGGGGTCAGTGGGAAGAATGTCCCTTACATTTGGTGGTCAGTGGGAAGAATGTCCTTACATTGGGGAGTCAGTGGGAAGAATGCCCTTACATTGGGGGTCAGTGGGAAGATTGTCCTTACATACATGGGGGTCAGTGGGAAGAATGTCCTTACATTGGGGAATGGCTCCTGGGAAGGGAGGTGACCTTCCCTTACCCCCCACCCCCCCCCCCCCTCTTGGGAGCCGGCGGATCGGGGTCTAGTGGGAAGAATGTCCCTTACATTGGGGGGTTCAGTGGGAAGAATGTCAGCCTTACATTGGGGGTCAGTGGGATGAAATGTCCCTTACATTGGGGGGTCAGTGGAGGAAGAATGTCCCTTACATTGGGGATCAGTGGGAAGAATGTCCCTTACATTGGTGGTCAGTGGGAAGAATGTCCCTTACATTGGGGATCAGTGGGAAGAATGTCCCTTACATTGGGGGTCAGTGGGAAGAATGTCCCTTACATTGGGGGTCAGTGGGAAGAATGTCCCTTACATTGGGGATC